TCGTAGTTTTACTGTATTGTGACGCCATGTCCGCGAAAGTGATCACGTGGGAGCGGCTCCGTGCGACATCCTCGCGCTGGCTCTAGTGTTCTAGCTAACTAGATTACATGCTTTGCTGCATGCTTTTGTCAATAGTTCTGTGGAAAGCGCAGCAGACGACTGAGCTCGGTAAAATGAGTGCTATAACGTCTAACTTTTTAGAACCCACATGGCCGTCTGATCAGAATACATAATCCGAAGATACAGCTTAATCCCAAAAAATAAAGGCAAAACAAGCTGTATATAGCATCTAATATAGAAATTATAGGGCATTTCAAAGTTCGGCAGCATTATCGTGTATGGATTTGAAGTTATATTCGCTCGGCTAACGACGTAAAGAACAATAGAAAAAGTAAATGTCAAAGCATAATCATTGCGGTGGGCCGTGTAGTCGCAACCAACATATCGATGTTTTAAATGCGGAGCATCTCTTCACCAACTGCACGCACTTTTCGCGTCTACATTCGTACATATCTATATATCGGTCTAGCTCTCTATCTGGCCGACTATGTCTGGGTGCCCTCGTCATTGCCTCATTAACTTAGCTGATTGATTGATATGATACGTGGGGTTTAACATCTCGAAATCAACATATGAATATGAGAGATGCCTTAGTGGGGGCTCTGGAAATTTCGACCTCTTGGGGTTTTTACCATGCACCCATATCTGAGCATACGGGCCTACAGCGTTTTCATCTCCATCCAAAATGTAGCCGCCATAGCCGGAACTCAATCCCGTGCCCTGCGGGTCAGCAGCCGACTGCTTTAGCCACTAGACCACCGCGGCGGTGCCCTTAACTTGGCGCAAACTGAAATTAGCATAAGAGGGTAAGAGAGTTTAACGTATATATCGCACTGGTCAAGACATGGCTGATGTTAAAAGCCTGTCACGTACGTCGTCAAACACCTCCAGCCAGGCAGTGCAATATATCCGCTGGCGGGCATATGCCACTGGTATTCGGGCATGTGCCACAGGTGGTTGGCACCCAGTATCTACCCAGGAACGACGATAATACACATGGCTCCGTTTACGGTGAGCGTTAAGAAAAACCTGGCATCGCCAGCGTTCATCTAACTAATGCAAGAAATGTTTTAATGTACCAGCAGGAATCGAACCCAAACATACGAGCATGTCATTCGAGCATTTTACCACAAAGCAACGCGAGGTCCCCGAACTACCTTTAAAATAGACACTAATATTAGCGAAACGTTAATTGTGGTCGCAGTGCTGCCTATCGTATTTTATAGGCATTACACATGTACTCCTACATTACAGCGGTCACGTCGGGTTAACGTCAATAGTAGTTAGGTGTGACGCGCTGAAGCTGTTTATGAAGCGTTGTTCAGGGCTATTATTTTCGGGAGCACCAGCGTATCATATCAGTTTATCGCTTCTGGTGTTGCTGCTGCTCACGGTCTTGTTGTCATCGTTGCGCAAGTGCAAAACAACTTATTGTATAAACATCTGCAACTCTTCAACTAATGTGTGTGCGTGGAAGATTTATGCATACATTTAACGTCTTTCACGACGTCTCACTGAATGAAAAAAATACCACATGTCACTTTCCCTTCACATGCTGCGCATAACGTCAACTACCAAGGTACGCGGGATCTGCCCAATTTTAATTACGAATCGCACATTTTCAACGGAATTTACGTGTGAGAAAGTACACTCTTTCATTAATACTTTTAACTTCAAATGTACCAAGCTTGCGTGTCACGCCTGCCGCACCATGGGTGGATAAGGTTACGAAACCAAGAGGTAATTGAACGCAGTGTAATGACGACAAAGCGTGAAGGGGCCACGTTTTCTTTTATCAAGACGAAGGCCTTGAAGGCCTCATGAAATAGGAAATTTCAGCTCCGACGGTCACCATCCCGCGAAATCAGGCACGAGTAATGCCGAAAGTCATCACATGAGGACGTCACCTTATGGCGTCATCACGACGTCATAAAGTTTGGCGTAACGTCATGATACTCAATGCCGCATTATGGCATGGTAGCGCTATTTTTTAGAGGTTAAATGAAACCGGCCAGCGCTACCTCAACAAATGGAAGAAAATGAAGACGACGCTTTGCCGTGGCGTGTGAAGCCACGGCTCGTATATTCAGCTGCTCCCCCATACATCAACTTCGAAAAAAGATGTCTTTTGACTATATTTATTTACTTAATATTTTTTTAATTGAACACTGTTCAAGTTATCGTCTAAATTTAAACTACGAAATCGTGGTCACTTCTCCAGAGTCGGGATGTCCAATATTGACGAATTCTCAAACAAACAAACCTTCTAGTTGTCCTGGAAGGATGCACAATAGCCCTCTGAATTTTTCGGTTGTGAATATGGACAGTCTAGGCGCATTTCTTGAGCCTCGTGTTGTGCATAAAATGCAATTTATAACCTGAACCCCGTATAGTTTTTTTTTTTTTTTTAGCGTGAGTGAAAGCTTTTAAAGTCTCCAAAAGACGTGAACTGCGACTTTCGCTCCAAATTGCACAGCCGCAAAGCTTGTGTTCGAGCTATATTTAAAGATTATACTAGATGACTGATACTTTGAATATACTGGGCTGCCAGCGCTTACTTTCGTTTAAATGACGCGCAGCATGAGAACTAATTCGTCGGATCGGAACCTAAGGAAGTGAACTGCACTGCAAGTGTTACTACGTTACTTCGTATATATATATATATATATATATATATATATATATATATATATATATATATATATATATATATATATATATATATATATATATATATATATATATATATATATATATATGTGTGTGTGTGTGTGTGTGTGTGTGTGTGTGTGTGTGTGTGTGTGTTGCAGTGGCGTTGTGGGTGCGGTGGAAAGCATTTCATTTTTTCGTCTTTTTGTGGCATTGTGCGCGATCGATGCGTATTTGAAGAAAGTAATCTGGTTGTATCTGATTGATGATAATAAAAGCAGTAGGTAATCTTTAGCGTGCATCTTTGTGATGGCGCGTTAGCAGAATCTTTGCGCTGGTGTTGGTTTACGTTTACTATAGACAATCACACTCATGTATCTCATGCAGGTTTATACGTTGCCATGATCAATTCATTCACTTAATCCTGCTTTTCTTATATATTAATAATGTATAACATATTCTCAGTGAACTGTTGCGTCATTGTCGTCTAGACAGAGAAAGAATACAAGAAATTAGGGAGGTTAACTATACTGCGTCCAGTTCGCTGCGCTACGCATAGGGAGAGAGAAATGAGGGAGTAAAGAAAGAAAGAGAGAATATGAGGTCTTCTGGTAAATAAACAGACTATTATCCAGTCTCCTCAAAGAACAACGTAGAGTCTGGCGATCTTCAAAGTAGGGACAATGGCAAAACACACGTTCGATAGCTTCTACGCAATTCCGTTTATGACAGTAATCGAAATCTCTTCTGCGATATATGCTTTAGCTGTTGCCTATAAGTACGATGACATCCCACCATGGAACACCGCCTGTACGCCACAGGTGCAAGATTATTCATGTGACCGTGAACCAGGTGGATGACGGCTTATGGCGCCGTCTTACCGCGCGCGCTATCTGGCAAGCCCGACAGACAGACACAGAACTTTAAGGAGATTTGAATGGACTAGCCGGGAATGACCCTCAGAGGCTTTTAGATTGCGGCTGCCTGCTCGCATGTCGCATTTAGAAGATCATGTCTTTCCGCTCTTTCATGGACCCTCTGGGCAGCCGCTGACTGCGTATTCAGTGCAGTACTTGCGATGGCATCTTCCCAGTCCTGTTCGATAGTTGGTGACGTGTCCCGTATAACGCAGGACACTGCCAGAGCATGTGTGCTAAAAATGCAACCGCGCAATCGGGGCACTGTGTGCGGATATTCCAGTACCTTTTTTTTAATAATCCTCTGGTACGTGAAGAAAGGAAGTACTAGGTACGCACAACCGCCATTAGTGGCAATACATGAACAGGAGTGGGCGTAAGACAACGCAAGAATAAATGAAAGATCGCCAGTGAAAAACATTGAGGTGTGCAGCGTCTAAATGCTTCGTACTACATGATCAATATGTGATAATCTGGGAGGTGGGAAACGAGTACACATGAGCGTGTGGTACCTCTATAAGCGATTGGGAAGGTATACGCAGAGCAGAGGAGCAGCTGAGCTCATGTCTCACCTAATAGACTTTACAAGATCTTTTGTTCTCCACGTAATTGAATAAGAGTGTATAAGTTATTAGAGCATCACGCTTTTTCTGAATAGGAAAAGATAGTGGTGTAGCGTTGAAAGATCGTTCACTTATGCAACCTACAAGGGAGAGCTCATCACGCACGGGACGGTCAAAGGAAGACAGAAAAGAAAACAGAAAGGATTACTCTTCAACCTCCATGTTCGAGCACAAATTAGAGTATCGTCAGGGGGGGGGGGGGGGGTATTTATATTCAATTTAGAAAAAAAAGTGGTTGGTTGCGCACTGGGTCTGCGAATGGAACAATGTATACCCTATGCCAAAGACGACCGGCCTGTCATTTCACCACTGCTGGTGCCTCGGCGCTCAAAATAGGCCTTACGTCGCCTAGTGGCTATTATTGTGCTCCACAAAGTGCGAAGTAACGGTTCTGATTACTTGTTAGAGTGAAATAATATTGGCTGGGAGAAGCGCAAACATAAACAACGGGGACAGTTAGGTACGCAACAGACAAGACACAGGCCCTGTGATAATCTTGACCCCCTTGTGTCACAGGGGGTCAAGCATATTGCGAGGACATCCACTGCTCGATAAGCGTCATGGTATCACCATGATTTTGTTATATGAAGTCCGCAATTAAATCAAGAACTTTTTCTTCATTTTTAATGGAGCACGAATTAATGGTCATGTTTTCGCGTACATTTTTCGAGGCTGATGGTATAAAACTGGATATCTACTATGACTGTGCGTGTGAAGCTGCAACGTTATCCTTCTTCTTGCCCTCTTTCAGGCACGGCGTTCTACCATTGCCTCGCGGACGGTTCTTGGAAAGGCCCTCTAGCTCACTATGGCTATTGCACAACTAAAAAGAATCCTGTAAGTCATCTTTGCACTACGCAGCAGGATCTGAATAAAATATCGCTAAAGCTAATGAATGATAAGCGTTGAACTTTTAACGCGTCGATCTCACTTTGCTTGTAGCTAGCCGGAGCTTGTATAAACCACTCAGTACTTGAACACTAGTGCGTTTTCATAACATAACAGATTGTCTTCTCCCTCAAGGCAAATTGTGTGAATATTATGGCTAAGGATATGTTTATATATATATAGCAGGGGTCTGAAACTCACCTCTGCTACTGGTCCACAGTTATGAATATTTTCTCCTGCAAGGGTCAGGACAACGAAGAATGTGGTAAGCAGTGAGTGAGTGGGGTCGGGCTATTTTGTACAAAATGTAAGCTAACTTCGCCATTTGACTCAAGTCGCTTCCATATATTTTAAGTGGGAAATTTATGCAGAAAAAGTTTTCTGACACCAAGATTTCAATGACACATTTATAAGAATCTCTAAAATGTCGAAATATCGGACGCTTACTCGAAATATACTGTGTTGTTTGACGGGTATGTATGAACATGAGTTACCGCAGGGACTTCCTTACAAAAAACGGCAATCTACTAGCCATGCCTGTGTAGTTTATGAACACCCTTATTCAGAAAAAAAAGTTTGACAAACACAATCATCAGTTGGCCAGACTGCTAACGAGAGGTCCTCGTGTTTGAGACACCTGATTTACAGCATCAATATGGTCAAAGGAGAGAATCATAATAAAATGTCGAATACAGTAATGCGAAATATATTTTTAACTTTTATAAACAAACTTACATTGAGGTCATAAAAGTGCATGACAAGCGCTGTTTTTAGCCACTAAAAATTGCTAGCATGAATGCATGCTACAATGTTTTAGCGCAGTTAGTGTAATATTGTTGGCAAATCGGTCTCTAACTTTTTTTATTATTGGTTCTCAACTTGGTCAGCTTGCAGCATGGACACGCTAAAGCCAGTTTTATGGCTCAGCTGCTGAATGTGTTAACGCGTGATGAAAAGATATATGACCCTATAGCCATAACTTCTAAAACGAGGACGTAGGCGGAGTATATCAAACAGAATTGCCGCATAATTTCGAATTAGAAAAGCTTTTCTTTGAAGCCTTTTAGAAAGTACAAAAGAAGGGGCGTATAATACTAATAATTGGTACCGTCATAAGAGTTGTGATAAGAAGAAATCAAGTAGTTTACTTTGCGTATATCCGATAATGTTTGGCTTTTCGGGCAAATGAAGAGAGCTATCATTGAGGCTTTGATTACAGGCACGTTGCTTAGGCTGCATGGAACAATGTGACATACCGTAGCCGTTAAGAGGGGAACTCAGTGCAACTAGGCTGAGATACGTCGCGTAACCATTTAAAATGTGCCAATTTAGTCTATCACTGCAGAGCCTAAATTGAATGAATGACGTATTTAAAATGCGTGAGTTCTGTCTATTACTGCACAGTTTGAATGACGTAGAATCCTGTGACGCGCTTTTGTGGCTGTCAGCTATACGTCGGTTCCGAGGTGGCGTCAGACATCCAAACACCATGGAGACGACGAAGAGACTACGAGGCCCTTTTACTTATTATTTGAATAAGCTCGAGCACACTCGAGTTCGGCGCCAGTAATTTTCTTTTTTTTCTTTGCGTGAAGGCCAGAAACACACACTGTAGGTACTCGAGGGAACACAGTATCCCATTGCTGCCACCAGTTGTTGTGGTTCAGGTCCAGAGAGTTTCTTAGAAGGTAGCTGGACCCCACCGTCGTACCCGTTGAGCCTATCTTGCAGGAAGGAAGACATAGACGGGTAGAATTTACAGACGTTTATTTACGTTGAAAAGAGATCAAAATATAGCTAAGTCATGACAATCTACTCTATAGAGACTTTCGGGAAGCCCAAACGGTGCTGATTATAAAGAGTGCTGCATGCACAGATTCATGTACGAGGGAGATGACTCCAAATTACACTGTGCGATCACAGGACACACACTACTTCCGCCAGAGCCACCCACACTGGCCCTTGTCAACGTCCTTGACGGCGGCATGATGAGCAAACTTCAGCTGCCCAACTAGGGTGGTCATTTATTAACACGAAAAGGCCGCCGGGTAATGCTTCCTACCCTCCTACCGACATCAAAAGGTCCGCGACTCGTGCACGCTCAAGTAGCAGGACGGCTTGTCATTCGAAGTGGAGCCGTTGTCCCTTCAAGGAAGATGTCGCGAGCAAAATTATTGTGGTGGTCTCTTCGAATATCTCGGGAGGCCAGACTGCAGAGCACCTCACTTCCCGGCTTGGAAGGAAAAGTAGGGGGGGGGGGGTGCTATCACTTTTTGTAAAGTCGTTTGCGCATCGTAGCACACACGTGTCTCGCGGGTCATCATCATCATCAGCCTGACTACGTCCACTGCTGGACAAGAGCTATACTTGCTGCTGCCCATGAATGGGCAGCAGCAAGTACAGGGCCGAGTTGAGTGGCGGAACATGGGAGAGGCCTTTGACCCGCCAACTTCTTAATCTCGTCGGCCCACCTAACCTTCTGTCTCGCCCCAACCCGCTTGCCTTCTCTAGGAATCCAGTTAGTTACCCTTAATGACCAGCGGTTATCCTGTCTACGTGCTACACGCCCGGCTCATGTCCATTCCTTGTCCTCGATTTCAACTATGACATCCTTAACCCCGGTTTGTTTCCTAATGCACTCTGTTCTCTACTTGTCTCTAAAGGTTACAACTACCATTTTCCTTTCCATTGCTCGCTCCGTCGTCCTCAATTTAGGCTGAACCGTCTTTGTAAGTCTCCAGGTTTCTCCTCCATAGCTAAGTACCAGCAAGATGCAGCTGTTATATACATTCCTTATGAGGGATAGCGGCAATCTACCTGTCATGATTTGAGAGTCCTTGCCAAATGTGCCCCACTCCATTATTATTCTTCTAGTTACTTCAGTCTCATGTTTGGGCTCCGTGGTTATTACGTGTGCTAAGTAGATATAGTGTTTTGAAACTTCAAGTGCGCTATTACTTATCTCGAAGCGCTGTTGTCTTCCGAGGTTGTTGTACATTACTTTCGTTTTCTGCAGAATAATTTAAGACCTAATTTTCTGCTCTCTTTATCTAACTCTGTAATCATGAGTTGCATTTTGTCCCTGAGTTTCTCAGCAATGCAATGTCATCGTTGAAGCGCAAGTTACTAAAGTACTCTCCATCAAATCATATTTCTAAGTGTTGCCATTCTGGGCCCCTGAAAACTTCCTCTAAGCGCGCGGTAAATAGCATTGGGGAGATTGTACCCCCCTGCCTTACACTGTTGTTGATTGGTATTCTGTTGCTTTCTTAATGAAGCACTATGGTAGCAGTTGATCCCCTGAAGATTTATTCCAGGATTTTTATGTATGCCTGGTCGACGCCTTGATTCCGCAGTGTCTGCATGACTGCTGATATTTCTTCTGAATCAAACGCCTTCTCGTAATCTATGTAGGCTATGTATAGTGGTTGGCTATTTTTTGAGCATTTCTCTATTACCTGATTGATAGTATGAATGTGGTCGATTGTTGAGTAGCCTGTACTAAGTCCTGCTTGTTCCTTTGGTGGGCTTATTTCTAATATTGTCTTAATTCTGCTAGCATTGGCGTCTCTCATAATCATATGGTGGTTTTGGGACGTTAAACCCCACATATCAAATCTGCTAGCATTGCGTTTGTAAATAGCTTGTACACTACTGAGAGCAAGCTGATCGGCCTGTAATTCTTCTAGTCCTTGCTATCTCCTTTCCTATGTATTAGGTTGATGCTAGCATTCTTCCAAGATTCTGGTGCTCTTCCCGTCAGGAGACACCTCGCATACAGGGTCGCTAGTTCTTCTAACACAATCTGTCTTCCATCTTTCCGCAGATCTGATGTTACTTGATCCTCACCAGCAGCTTTGCTTCTCTGCATGCTCTCCTAGGCTTTTCTGACTTGTTCTATCATTACTTGTGGCGTGTCATCTGGGTTACTGCTAGTTCTTATATTAAGGTCATGGTTGTTCTGGCTACTGCGCAGATCCCTGTAAAACTCCTCCGCTAATTTTACTATCCATATTGGTAGTTTCCTTCTTTGTTTCTCAGTGCATACATCATATTTTTGCCTACCCAAGTTTTCTCTTGATAGCTTTGACGCTTCCTCCGTTCTTCAAAGCGTGTTCAATTCTACTGTACTTTCTTACATCCGATACCTTACGCTTGTCAATCAACCGCGAAAGCTCTTGCAACTCTACTTTGTCTGCTGCACTTGAGGCTTGTCACACAGATCCCGTTAGTTAGGGAGGCGATCGCCGGGCTAATCCCAAGAGCCGAGGTATCGGCCCCCTGAACCGCACCACGAAAGCGTGGACAATTTAGAAGTGGTCCTATTTGGCGCGCCAGCGGACGCCGGCTGTGGCCCAAAGAACAAGTCAGAGCCGAGAGTGGATAAACAAACGAAATTATATTCTCAAAAATGGCAGTTCAAAACAACACACAAGTATGCACACTCCACAATAGTTGAGTACAATATGTCACCAAACAAACAGCGTACTACACAGTACGATCAGCCACACTCAAAACAACGGACACAGACAACAATGCGCACTACAATGCAGTCGAATGAGTTGAACAACCAAGACACTTAAAGACTAAAGAGATAGAAAACCTATTCAGTCCAAAGTTCTTGGAACCAAAGTCTGGATGATACTCTTTCGAGAATCACTCACTCAAAGTCCAGCGTTGTTGTCGTTCCGCAGCCCCCGAAGTTTCTCTTCCAGGAAACCTCGCCGAAGTTTCTCTTCCAGGAAACCTCACATATTCAATAGGCCACTCTCCAAGCTTCAAACTTCTTCGCCGGAAACACGTCGGCTTCACACACGCAGTGATCGCCACGCGTCTTCTCTCGATAGCGGTTAACACACACTCTCGCCTGTAGCTCGAGTCGTCACCCCTCAGGTAGAAATCATCTTCTTCTCCTGCTTTGTCTCTACGGACAAAACCTTCGCCGACTA